CAAGTGATTGAGATCTTGCAGTTATATTGCGACGGTGAAACAAAATGACAGGTTAGAGCGATTACGAATGCGAAGAGTGCTCAGTGTGGCAAGGCCCATTCTTGTCAAGGATTCTGGGCAGCGAAAATGCTTATCTTCTGCGACTTCGGGCCGCTCCATCACGACGGAAGGAATCGTGCACGTCGTGTGATCGCAGACTCTGTCTTCAGAATGGATATCCCACTAGAGCTTATGTGTAGATCACCGTGCACACAAAAACAGCGGTTCTCGATTGCCTAGGCTGCGTTCATACTTCGCGTCAGCGTACGGCAGAGTTCCGAACGAATAGAAAGGTGTATATATCGATCTAGCCAACGTCAGCGTCAACCAACGTACGCCATCGTATGCCGGAGTACAGCAGAGCTTTCGCAGGCAGCTTTGTCAAGCTACTCCCTCGCGGAAACGCTGGCGTACGCTAGCACACTCCATACTTTCTTAGTCACTGGCGTACGCTCGAAAAGGCGCCGTACGCTGACGCAAAGTATGAATGCAGCTGTTCATTTGGGAAGAAGGTGGTAACTCCTTGAGCTGGTAAAAAGGATTCGTACTAGAACTAGCACAAACAGTCCAAATCTGCGGGCTCAAAAGGTCGAAGCTACGAGAGCGATTAGGGTCCAGGCGAAAGACAGGCAGAGACGTACGCATGGATGTTGACACGGAAATATGCAACCATCGCCAGGACGCCCCCTTTCGTCCTCCAATATTGATTATATCTGTTCCATTGTACTAAAAAGTTTAGTGGAACATGCTCGAGCAGAAACCTACCGATAATTGTAGAAGCCGAATTCGAAGTCTATCAGAACCAAGCGTTTATCGTCTACTGAAGCTCGTTCATCCAAACCGTTCTCAATGACGTCCCTTAGGAGAACGTTTGAAGGCTGAAGACAAATATAATCTCAAAAGGCATACATCATTTAAATCGAAGGCACCTACCACGAGGTCACCGTGACAAAACACTGAAGGACTTTCTTCTTGCGTGCTCAAAAAATCTTTGATTTCTTCAAATTCGCGTTCAAGTTGGTCTATTGTAAGAATACTGGGAAACTGGAAGATTGAATTTTTAGAGCAACTACAGTAAATTTCTACTTGAATGAGAAAGACCAACCTCAACTTCATCATGTATTGCCACTCTTTCTAAATGTATCGGTAGAGCTACATTGTTGCGGCATTTGTGCAACCAAGAGCGGATCAGCGGCACGTATTGGGGAGACTTTGGCAGCGGCATTTCAATAGCGTGCACCTTGGCAAGCAATCCCGCAACAGACGGAAGAAACCTTAAACACGCTGCCAAATCCATTGTTTGACGGAATGGCGCACTCCGAAAATCCCTGAGATGTGGTAGGCGTGATTGCGTACGCCGCCTCAAATTGAAAAATCTCACGAAGAACCAATCCATGTTAAACGGAGAATGCACCACGCCTACAGCGTCTCAGGGATTTGGAGTGTAAACACGAGGCGTTCCCAGAGAATGAAAGCACCCTGAAACGGCTTTCCTTAGTGGGTAAACTTTTCATGGTTCGCTATCTGGTTGACAGAACTCACCAAGTTCTGAAACCATACAGCGTGGACTCTGACACTCAATGAACCGCGTATTCCAGAATATTCAGCATTCTTGTGATAACATTTTGTAAGCTTCGCGGTTCACTGCCGATATTAGCTAATCACGCTAACGCGTAAGTGCTGTAAGGCTGCGGCTTAAGGGCCACAGAGCTAGGAGCGATCCCGGGGTATATGGGTAGCATAGTGGCCTGGTCCGAGGGGAAATGGGTTCGAATCCCGCCTGGAATCTGACTTTTACCCATAACTCTTGGAATAACCTCAGTGAACCTTTATGAACTCCATGACAAGCCATAAACCTTCACCTTAACTCGTAAAAGCCGTTTTCAAGGGTGCTCTCAGTTTCTTGAAACGCATTGCCGCTATTAGGCAGCGTTCAGACTTCGCGACGGCAGCGCTTCGGTCGCGCGTTCGACGCGATCGATGCAGTCGAAAGCATGCGCATCGATCGCGTCGAACGCGCGACCGAAGCGCTGCCGTCGCGAAGTCTGAACGCTGCCTTATTCATTGAAGCT